TGGGCGCCCGGCCCAACCGGCGGCAGTCACCCACCGTTGGCAGCCGTGCCACCCAAGGCCACCTCCGATGCCTTCCCCTCACCGAGGCACCGGGCTTTACCCGGGTTCATTCCGCCCCACCAAGAGGGCGACGCCGGCGACTTTATCTTAGTGCTGCCCTTCCAACCCAACCAAAATCCAGCTGCGGGCGTTGACCCCGGCGAGGTCGGCGGGCAGCAGCGGGCACGGAGCCGAAACCCTCCTGGTGCCAAGGCGGTGGCGGGTGGGCGAGAAAGGCAAGCTGCGAAACCCGTTTGCCAGCGCCTTGTTTTTCTCAGGGCAAAGAAGCTAATCCCAGGTTTAATTACACCTAAATTCAGTGGGAGATAATCTAATCAGCCTCATTAAGGGAAGGTCCCGGACTGGTACGGAGATTTGTGCCGTAGCCTGGCCAGGGCAAGCGGGGCCACATGCCGGGAGTGCCCCGGCTCCCCCAAACCCCCCGGTTCCGCACCCTGCCACCCTCCCGCCCGCCCCGGGCGGCTGTGGCTCGCTGGGGTGTCACCGGGGCAGGGGGACATGCGGTGACTGGCTCCATCCCGAAGGATGCCACTGGTGATGGCAGAGGAGGGGACTGGTCCGCCCAGTCCCTGCGGGGCGAGGGTGGCCAGCGGGACCCTTCCCGGTGGGACCCGGGTGGGTGGCAGTCCCCACTGACGCCCTTGTACAAGGGGACCGGCTTGGGGACGCCTGGTGCTTGGTGGCCGGCCTGGGGATGGTCCCCTGCCAGGGAGGAGAGCGGAGACCGGCCGCTCATCATGGCTGCACGCGGTGGTAGGGACGGGGCGCAGGGTGTCCCTTCGCTCCTGGGACAGTCCCAGTCCCGGCTGGGGCTTTTTTGGGGGGGACAGGGAGGGGACAAACCTCCAGCTTTGGGGCTTTTGGGGTGGGAGCGGGGACTCCTCCACCAACGGTCCCTCTTCTCCCTGCAGTTTCGGGAGAACCTGCGGGACGTGCTGCCCTCCCTGCCCTCCCAGGATGACTATTTCCTCCTGAAATGGCTCCGAGGTAACCCCGCGGTGGGGAGCGCGCGCGGCAGGGGGCTGGAGGACCCCAGCGTGGGGCTGTGGAGCCAGGGACGCTGGCGGCAGGGCTGAGCTCTCCGCTCTCTTGCAGCGCGCTGCTTCGACCTGCCCAAGTCGGAGGCGATGCTCCGCAAGGTGAGAGGGCACCCCGCTTCCCAGGGGGACCCCGCTATGCTGCCGTCGAGCTCCCAGTTGTCACCTGGGATGAGACAGCATGCCACGGGCCACCAGCCCAGTCCCTCTCTCCCAACGAGGGTGACCTGCCCGTGGCGGGGTCCCCAAATCCCCTCACCCCGGCTTGCTCTGCCCCCTCCTCGCAGCATGTTGAGGTCCGCAAGTACATGGACGCCGACAACATCATCGCCTGGGAGGCCCCCGAGGTGGGTGTCCCCAGCCCCGGGGTGGGTGTCCCTGGAGGGGACCGTCCCCCCTCCCCAGGGGGGTGCACGGTCCCCCTGAGCCCCCCACGCTCCCACAGGTGATCAAGAAGTACATGTCGGGGGGGATGTGCGGCTATGACCGGGAGGGCAGCCCCATCTGGTACGAGATCATTGGGCCGCTGGACGCCAAGGGGCTGCTCTTCTCCGCCTCCAAGCAGGACCTGCTGAAGAACAAGTTCCGCGACTGCGAGGTGCTGCGGCGAGAGTGCGAGCGGCAGAGCCAGAAGGTGGGCGCCTGCCTGCCCGCACCCTGCCTGCACCCTGCCCGCCCCACCAGCCCAGCTCCCCGCTGTCCCCACCAGCCCAGGTCCCCGCCAGCCCCACGAGCCCACGTCTGGTCCAGCCCCACAACCCAGCCTTGCACCCAGCCCTGTAGGTCCGCATCCGGTCCAGCCCCACCAGCCTGTGTCCCTGCCAGCCCCACGAGGCCACCTCCTGTCCATCCCACCACAGACCACGTCCCTGCCAGCCCCATGAGGCCACGTCTGGTCCATCCCCACCACCCAATGTCCTCCCCAGCCCCATAAGTCCATGTCCCATCCATCCCCACCAGCCCATGTCCCTTCTCCCCACACTGGTTCTTGGGAGGAGGCTCTGGCCAGGGGGGACCACCCCCTCCTGCAGGTCCCCACAGGGTCCGGGCACCGCCTGAGCCCGCCCCTGTCCTCCTGTCCCAGCTGGGCAAGAAGATTGAGATGGTGCTGATGGTCTACGACTGCGAGGGCCTGGGCTTGAAGCACCTCTGGAAGCCAGCCGTGGACACGTACGGGGAGGTGAGGGGCTCCCTGCCCGGCCCCCGCTTCCGTGGCCGGGGACTGCGGCTGTCCCCAGGCCCCGGCGACGCAGGGATCCGGGCGGACTCACGGCCCCGAGGGATGATGCAAGAGCGGGTCCCTGCCGGTGCGCCGCACCCCACCGGTGTTTTGGGGTGGGGGTCCCGGCCCGTGCCCCACCGTGCTCCCCCCGCGCCCTGGTGGGTACATGGGACGGGGGGGATGATCTGAAGCTCTCCCCATCCCGCAGCTCCTGTCCATGTTCGAGGAGAATTACCCCGAGTCCCTCAAGCGCCTGTTTATTGTGAAGGGTGAGTTCGGCCCCAGGGGTCCCGTTCCCCCCCGGCTGGGGGCTGACCCCCACCCTAACGCCCCCCCGTCCGCCCCCCAGCCCCGAAGATCTTCCCCGTGGCCTACAACCTTGTCAAGCACCTCCTGAGCGAGGACACCCGCAAGAAGGTCGTGGTGCTGGGATGTGAGTCCTGACCCCCTCCCCGGGGTGCAGTGGAAGCCGAAAATGGGGGTGCCACGTCCCCCTCCACTGTCGTCCTGCCCAGGGGTGAAACCCCAATCCTGGGGGCGGTCCCCCCAGCTGGGCTGGGGCTCCCTGCAGGGGTCACAGCCCCCCCAAATCCCGCTGTCCTCCGCCCCACCAGCCAACTGGAAGGAGGTCCTGCAGAAGTACATTGACCCCGAGCAGATCCCAGTGGAATACGGGGGCACCCTGACGGACCCCGACGGGGACCCCAAGTGCCCAAGCAAGGTAGGAGAAGCCCCCCCGCCCCCCAACTCCAGGCTCCTTGGGGGTGCACGGGTGGTCCCCCCATCCCCAAGTCCATCTCCGTCCCTTTCCAGATCAACTACGGGGGGGACGTGCCCCAGCGCTACTACGTGCGGGACCAGCTGGTGCAGCAGTACGAGCACACGGTGGTGGTCAACCGCGGCTCGTCCCACCAGGTCGAGTACGAGATCCTCTTCCCCAGCTGCGTCCTCAGGTGAGGAGGGGGCTCTGCGCCACGGGGCTGGAGGTGGGGGACATCGGTGGGTGTCCCCAGCCCCGCCACGCGACCCCGCCGGTTCCCTCCGGCACAGGTGGCAGTTCAGGTCAGAAGGAGCCGACGTGGGTTTCGGGGTGTACCTGAAGACCAAGATTGGGGAGCGGCAGCGGGCGGGCGAGATGACCGAGGTCTACCCCAACCAACGCTACAACTCCCACATGGTGCCCGAGGACGGCTCCCTCACCTGCTCCACCCCCGGCATCTGTGAGTGCATCCCCCTTCCCCGGGGTGCAGGGGGGACCCCCAGGGGTCCTCCCCATCTCCCTGACACCCCCTGCCCGCCATCTTCCCCCAGACGTCCTGCGCTTCGACAACACCTACAGCTACCTCCACTCCAAGAAGGTGAGCTACAGTGTGGAGGTGCTGCTGCCCGACACCGCCTCTGCCCAGCAGATCCAGAAGCTGGGGGACAGGCTCAGCGAGGTGACCCTCAACCACAGCCCCTAGTGACGGCCCCCCACACTGCAGGGGACCCCGAGGCCCCACAGCCAGGCAGGCGGCTGCTCGGTGCCCCCCAGGATGGCCGGGTGCCCCCCGCCAGCGTGGCGGCCGGGAGGATGGAGAGAAGGGGCTGAGCCCCCAGAGCTCACGGACCGAGGCGGGGGGCTGAGGGGGGCCGGAGCGCCCGGGGTCGTCTCCCCCGTGCCTTATGTGGGTCCTGCGCCCACCCACTGCTGCGTGGGGTGGGGGGAGTAAAGGGATGGACCGAGCTGGGTCTCCTCTGGTTTTTGTCCCGCAGCCCCGTAACTGGCACCTGCTGTCCCTCCACCCCATAACTGCTCCTTGCTGACCCCCCAGGGGCCCCATAACCCACCCCTGCTGCCCCTCAGCCCCATAACCTGCCCCTGCTGCCCCTCAGCCCCATAACCCACCCATTCTGACCCCCAGCCCCAGAACTGCTCCTTGCTGACCCCTCAGCCCCATAATTGCTCCCTGCTGTCCCTCAGCCCCACAACTGCTCCTTGCTGCACCCCCAGCCCCATAACCCACCCCTGCTTCCCAGCAGCTCCATAACCTGCCCCTGCTGTGCCTCAGCCCCACAACTGCTCCTTGCTGCCCCCCAGCCCCACAACCGCTCCTTGCTGTCCCCCCGCCC